ATAAATAATCTCTTCTTTGGAACAGAGAAATGCATAATAGATTGTAATATGATGTCATGCCTGATCTGTGCCTCACATTTGAGCCTTTTATTATTTACTAGATCTAGATTTAAGTTTATTTACTTGAAACTTTGAGTGACATGATCATTAAATACTAATTTTGGAAGACTGAGTGAATTGTACTTCCATTTACTATTCAGGGAATACAATATTATCATTAGCCTGTTATCAATATGCTGCTTTCTAATCAACTGATGTTTTTGAAAACACAGCGCAGAATAACCTCTACTTCCATAGATTACTTCTTAGCTTAATGATTGTCTCTGAATAATTTGGCTCTGTGTTTGACCTACATATTTAATATTTATTAAGCTGGTAGGTACTGCAATCTTTATTATGTTCAAGAATTCTAACTCTCAATTCTTGTTGTCAGTGAATATAGGTCATGATTGAGCCAGGTGATGATTGTTTCATTACAGAGATTCTCTTGATGTATGAATACTAAGTTTATTCCATTCTTTTGCCCTTTGCTTTAATGTTTGTGCAGCCTGGCTACTATAGGGTCTCATACTCCATCCTCCAACTTCCCATGGGTTTGTGTGTGTGTGTGTGTTTTCATCACTGCCATCCCCAGCAGTTGTTGGCTGCTTAGTTACATTACAAATATTTCTCATAAACTCTTTTCAGACTTTGTAAATTAGGAAGAAAGAGACAACTGGATGGACAGACAGACAGATATTTAATGTTCCCCACAGCTCTTTTTATTCAAATGCACATGAAAGGAGCATTACAGAAGTGACATAGATATCTCCTTTGCCTGTTCTACTCTTCTTTCTTCATCATGTGCTTCCTATGTTACTTAATGGGATCACCTAGGTTTCTAGGTTCACTTTGGTTGCTATCCTTGAGTACAACTTCAATTCAGGATGTTGCCCTTCCCTATCTAGATACTGCCACAGTTCTTCAATTCCTCTTCCTGCTTCTGTTATAAACCTCTCATGTTTTACCACACTGCTCTAGAAGGAGTTTCCTGAAATGCACTTGCGATTCTTTCTTACGCATCTTAAAAGTTCCATTGCTTTTAGAATCAAATCATATTTTCACTGCATGACTTCCTTCTTTTTTTTTTTAATTTTCTGATCCTTTTTCTACCTTTCTATGTTTATATTCACACATTTCAACAAAAAGAAGTTTCCCTGGACATGCTTACCATGTTATGCCAAGAAATCTGGAGGACAGCTACCTTTCCAACTGATTGGAAGAGATCTCTATTTATTAAAAATATTGATCCAACAATGTGTGGCAATATCACTAATATCACACGCAAGCAAGATTCTACTGAATATTATCCAGAAACAACTGGAACAGTACATCAGGAACTGCCAGAGGTGTAGACTGTGTTTAGAAGAGACCATGACGCTGGGGACATTATAGTCATTAGATGGATTTTGTCTGAAAGCAGAGAGTACTAGAGGAATATCTCTCTGTTTCAGTGTCTGTGCAATGGCATTTGACTGTATGGATCATAGCAAATTGTGGCTAACCTTTAGGAGAATGGGGATTCCAGTACACTTAGTTGTGCTTACATGAAACCTGCATTTGAATCAGGAAAGCAGAAGTCAAGAAGAGCAGAGAAACACTGCATGGTTCAAAATTAGGAAGGGAGTATGTCAGGGATGCATCCTATCTCCATCCATTTTCAATCTATATGCAGAACAGATAATTTGGGAGGCTGGACTTTATGAAGAGGAATGTGGAATAAGGATTAGAGGAAGACTTATCAACAACCTGTGATATGCAGATGACACAACCTTGCTCTGTGAAACTGCAAAGAACATGAAGCATTTGCTGCAGAAGGTCAAGGACCGTGGTCTTCAATGTGTACTGAAGCTCAACATCAAGAAAGCAAATATTCATATGACTGAGCCAATTGTCAGCTTTCTGATGGACAGAGGAGATTGAAATTGTTGATAACTTCAGCTTGCTTGAGTCCATAATCAACACTCTTGTCACCAGCAGTCAGGAAATCAAAAGACAAACTACATTGATAAAGTCTTCTTTCAGGGACTTCAGTGTACTGAAAAGCAGTGATGTCAGTTGGAAACTAAAATGTGCTTGATCCAGACTGTGATCTTTGCACTTACCTGTTATGTATCTGAGAGCTGGACAATAACTAAGGATAATAGAAGTAGGATCAATACCTTTGAGTTGTGGTGCTGGATAAAAGTACATACTGTGGGCTGCCGAAAGAATAAACAGGTCTGTCCTGGAGAGGCTGTTCCTGAACCAGGCTGTTCCTTGGAGGCAAGGATTTTGAGGCTCTGTCTCACATATTTTGTGCACATGGCCAGGAGTAACCAGTGCTAGGAGAGGGACATCATGCTTGGAAGGGTGGAAGGACAGCTCAGGAGAGGAAGACCCAGAATGAAATGGATTCACCCCGTGACTGGAGAATTGGATTTAAGTCTGTCAGAGACAATGAGATTGGCTCAGTATAGGGCAGGTTTCAGAGCTAACATACATAGGGTTGCTACGAGTCACAGGTGACTTGAGGGCATATAACAACAATGCTCTTATTATGCTGGAGTGGCTCCAGTTCCTCAGATATGCCACATTCTTCATCATTGTTGCCCTTGTTTGAAATCTTATTCCTTCTGCCTGTGATATTGTTCATTTTTTAATTTCCTTTTTCCTGGACCCATATGCCTGCCTTCCTTCCAGGATTCCATTTGGAAGTCATGTCTTCCTAGCTACAGTCTGTTATTCTCCCCCCACACCCTTGTACTACTTGTTACACCAAAGGAGCCATCATGGCGCAACTGTTGAGTGATTGACAGCTAAGCAAACTGTTAGCATTTCAGACCCTCCTAGTCACTTTGTGGAAAAAGCTATACAAAGGTATTTATCTATGTGGATTATAAGAGATTTTGACCAACAGTCAGAATAATGGAACTCCAGAACACTTAATATTCCTTATATGGATGCTCAATCCAGGGCAAGAGACTATTGTGTGAACAGAGCAGGGAAACACTACATGGTTTCAAATTAGGAAAGGTGAGTGTAAGGGTTGGTTGCAACTTGTTTGTTCACACCTGTTCAGTCTGTATTATGAGCAACATTTTTAAGAAGCTGTACTCTGTGGAGAAGAATGTGACATTCTTCAACAGCCCTACTTGTTGAAAGGTGGGAGGATTTGATGTGATTGACGGATTTAAAGGCTACTGCCTTCAACATGCATTACATCTCTTTGTCAAGAAAACAAAAATTGTCACTATTGCATCAATATGCAACCTCATGAGAGTAAAGATTGAAACAGCAGTTTCATCTTCCTTGGATCCACATACTTGGCAACAGTAGTCAGGAGATCAGAAGACGTATTGGCCTGAGAAAGTCTGCAGTCAGAGTATTGACGAGCAATTATGTCAACTTAAAGACAAAGGTGGGTCTTATTTAGGCCATGGTCTTGCAGTGTATCTGTGAACTGGACAATGATTAAGGATGACAAAAGAACTGAAGCCTTTGAGTTCTGATGCTGGAAAAGATTATTGAATGACTCCTGGACTACTAAGACAACAACAAGCAGATATATTTTACAGAAGCAGCAGATGGAATGTCCCTTACAGGCAAAGATGACAAAGCTTCCTCTCACGTACTGTGGGCATTTTGCTAGGAGAGGCTTTTCCTTGGAAAGTGACGTTGTGTTTGGAAATGTAGGGGGGAAACATAAGAGAGGAATACCCTCAACCAGACGGATAGGTACAGTAAGTGCAGCAGTGGACTCAAGGGTGTTGTGGAATGAAGATGCCACAGAACAGGACAGGATTCAGATCTGTTGTTCACAGCGTCACTGAACTCGAGGACACCTAAGATCTACTGATTTGTTCGCATGAAGATTCTACCTTAGGACATCAACTATGATAGTATTTGTCTTCCCAAAATAAATATGGGAACGGGGTGCAGGGAGATTGTATACCAATGAAAGTATTTTTCTTTCGCTTTTCAAAGACAGGAGTGAAATGGGGGGAGGGGTAGCTAGGGAGAAAAGTGGAACAATGCATGAATGGAAATCCAAAATCTCTGTAAATGTTCATTAAAATTAATAACAAAGTTTAAAATAAATATGTTTTCTTTTTCCACTGCTATTACTAAGCAGCTTCTTAAACATTCTTATTTGCTGCTGTATTGCTATCTTATACAGCAGCTGAGACCTTCTTGATGATATACAACAACACAACAACTATTTAGGTATAAATCATGCTGAGAGAAGACACTGATAATTTTTTGAAGTATTAAGTATTAATTTTACATAGACTTTTCGGTTACACCTTTTTCTTTTCATTTATATACTGTTGTCGCTATGTGTAATTGAATTGGAACTGACTCATAGCTGAGCCTTCAGCGGGTTTTCAGAGACAGTAAATTACTTGTGAGGAGATAGTCTGTGTTACTCCAACAGAGGAGTTGGTGGATCTGAACCATGAACCTTTGATTTGGGAACACAACTTTTAACCACCGGAGCTTCCTTATTATATATGTGTGTGCGTATGTATGTGTAGGTACATGTATGTATACTTATCAATCAATCATGTTGTGTGCATATACATTTGCATACACACAATCTTAATCTAAATTAGATTTAGCTTATTCCATCTATAAAGAAAGAAAAAAATTTTGGCTAAAAAATAAATCAAATATCCTGCTCATTATCGTTGAGTTGATACTGCCTCATAGCTGTTCTTCCATCGAGTTTTCAGAGACTGTAAATGGTAGACGAGAAGATTGCTCATCTTTCTTCCCCAGAGTAACTGGCGGAGTCAAACCACCTGCCTGTCAGTTACTACTTGGCAATCCTACTCTTTATTCTTAAGTAAAATATAGCTGCTTAAGTATTTGTAAAATATAATTAGCTAATTTTATCATTCATGTAGTTCCACTAAAAACTAAGTATCCCATTATCAAAATATTGTTTCATTTTGTTCTATGTTTTTCTTTCTATTTAGCTCAAGGACACAAAATCCGCAGATCAGAAAACAACACTGCTTCATTTTCTGGTGGAAATATGTGAGGAGAAGTACCCAGATATCCTGAATTTTGTGGATGAGTTGCAACATTTGGACAAAGCTAGTAAAGGTTTGTGAATTTATGGACAATAATTTATTTGAGCCTTTATTATCTATAGATAGAAAATAATGCTTTTTATATAAAATCACAACTTTGTCACAGTATGTTTTAAGCTGATTATCTAATTTAATTTATAAAAATATAAAGGCTATAGATATTCATTTTAGGGAAGTGTTTGTATTGGAGCTATTTGTTTAATTTGGCTAGCTAATGAAGTCTTACACTATAAAGTATCTTATTTTGTGATTACAACCTTTTCCATATCTGTCAAGCCAAACTCTATTGTGAACACCTTCTCTCCAGTGGCCAGGTACTCTTCTGATTCCTTGTCATCTGTAGAGCACTGAGGGACTATTATGTATCTGGTCCTAGCGTGAAAGATCAGTTCCTCCTTTTGCCTTATTTCCAGATCTAACCCTTACAGCCAGACCATTGTATTGCATTTCAACCATACTTACTTATTATTGCTGTCGAGTTAGAGCAGACTTATATCTGACCCTCCCCTGGGTTTCTGAGTCCTTAAATCACCTAAGAGGAGATTGGTCATCTTATTCCTGCAGAACTACTGGTGGCTGTGGACCACTAGGGAGACACGACCTTTGGGTTAGCCACACAGTTCCTTACAGCTTTGCCACCAGCAGACAGCACACTGCCAGAAATTCCACTCACTTCTTCTCAATACACATATTTCTAAGTAGTTTTCCGCCTCTCCTATCAATGCAAATGAGAGAATAAAGCATCTTTCAAAACCTGTGGCTTATCTGTAAGTTCATGACCATGGTTCGGACATATTACTAAGAGAAATCAGTCCCTGGAAAAGGACATTACTTGGAAATCAAGAGGAATAACGTATGTAAGCTCTTCAATAGGAGTAATTGACACTTAGTACAGCAATTACCTAGAGCCCAGCCGAATGTGTGAGGACGGTGTAGAGTTGGGCAGGACTTTGTTACGTTGTACACAGGACTGCTGTGAGTTTGGAACTGACTCAGTAGCCCTTAACCATGCCCACATTTTGTTTATAGCCCTAGCGCCATAGCGCATTGGGTGTTGGTCGGCTACTGAAGTAAGCAGTTTGAATCCACCAGTCCACTCCATGGAGGATAGATGAGTCATCTCCTCCTGTAAAGACTGACGATCTTAGAAACCTGATGGAGGCGTTATGGCGATAGAATGTGGGTTTTGCTTTGGTGTTTTCATTTATGTATTCTGGGGAGAAAAGAGAACTCTGATGGTGAATCCCTTAGCGAGTTGAGCTACTAACCCTGAAGCCATGCAGTTCAATCTACCCAGGGCTCCATCGGAGAAAATGGGCAATCCTTTCCTGTGTGATTTACAGGCTCCTATATAACCTGCTGAAGGTCCAGCTGTGAATCCATTCCCACTCCACAGAAATGAATCAGACGGCTTTGTGGTTTATAATGTGGAGGAATTTAAAAAGATTGTTTGGTTTACACAGCTAACTTATCCTTATGTTTGGTTGTGGATTTTTTGCTTAAATTTGTTACAAGTATATATTATTTTTTTAAAAAATTTGTTGGTTTGTATGTAATAATTCATTTCACATTATGTTTCTTTCACTGTGTTTTCTGTAATCTTTCATTAACTGCCTCTGAAAACCTGCTGGAGGGTCAGCTGTGGGTCATTTCTGACTCGATGGTACACAACAACTATATTTCCACAACAACTATATTTCATACCACTAGTCACTATTGAAATGTCTTTTAGAAAAAAATGCATTTGAAAGTGAGAAGTCTATCATCACTTTAATTCTTAAAATTCTGCAAAATTAAAGAGTTCCCCTCCCTCTTTATTATTATGGTAAGTGAATGTGGTTCCTTAAATTAAAACATGAAATGCATTTATCATTGTCAGTTTTTTTCTTTTTGTATAAACTGGATATTGTAGTACTTTATTTGCACAGATGTTTGTGATTGGATGTATTACTTTTGAAGCTATGTGTGTTCTGTACTGCATGTTGAAAAAAAAATCTTGGAAAATTTTTATCTTGGATTTTTAGAACAAATATAACCTTTTAAGTTTATTTATTTTTTTATTCTACTTTTCTTATCATGCTAAGTACCTTATTGTGCCATTCTATTACCTTACAAATTCTTTTTTAGAAGAAAAAAAAATTCTAATATCAGGAGTAGTTGCATTGCCAACCCAAAGGCAGACGGTTAAAATCCACCAGCTGCTCCATGAGAGAAAGATAGGCGATCTCCTCCTGTGTGACTTCAAGCCTCTGAAAGCCTTTTGGAGAGTTAGCTAGGAATTAGATATGACTCAAAAGCACATAACAATAGCTGTAGGTGCTTTAATATAATTTAAGAAGGAACACACAGCAGATTTCTTTCTTACATTAAACTACTTATGGCAAAAATGACAGAATTGCATAGAGGGAAAGCATTAAAAATAACTCATCAATATAAGGAAGCAATATATGCACAAATATGATGATATAGAATTGAAAATAGTTGTTCTTGATGGACTATAACCCTTACGAAATGATGGGATACAGTGACTTATGAAGAGTGATTCCACTTGGCCTTGAAAGGCATTGGAACTTTTTCATAGTGGGGGCGAGGATTAATGAGTAGTTAATAGTCTGTATCAACATTAGATCTTTGGCAGTAATTACATCAGTGCAAGCATCTTTTTAGTGATGATTTGCATCTTGGACCAGTTCATCCTCTTTCATAGTTGTTCAGTGGCTGAACAGTAAGCTGGAACATGCTTCTCCTTCAGACATCAATTTTTCTGTTGAATTTATTTTCTTGCAGTCTTTGATGTAAATCAAATTTTTAAATACCATTTGTTTAATTACACTTAAAATACTCTAGCCACACTACAGGTTTTTTCTGTCTTAAAATATTTAACTTTCATAAGGCAGGCAGACTTGTAATTTGGCAGTTAGATTCTCTAGTTTTCATTGTGGATGTTTCTGTGGGACATTCTCAGGCCTTGAGGGTATTTCGTTTCCATCTGTTATAGCAGAGGCACATATTCTGTATGGGTCAGCAGATACTGCTAATGTGTTTCACAGAGAGCAACCAACTTTGTATCTGAAAAAGAAAGCCTGTACTTGAGATTTTTTTTATAGTGTAGGTAATAGTTGTACATAATATTTTATGATTATACTCTTAATAAATGAGGTTTTAGACAAATAAAAAAGTTTTGTGTTAAATATGTTGGTTTCTTTAGGAGAATCTTAGCACTCTTATATATCATCATTTAAATGTTTAGACATTTGAAATGACCTCAAGTGAGCTATCACATAAATTTTTAAAAAATAAATATCTTTGTTTTTGAAATATAACTAATCTTGGTTATTAGTTACTTCTCAATCAGCAGGGGAACCTTTTACTGCAACTAATGAGCTTACCCATATGACAATTTTCAAAAATCTACTTCATTAGAGCTACTGCTTTTCTAAAAGATAATGGCTTACTGCTTTTCTGTGTATTTCAGTGAAAATATTTTGGGTCATTATTGTACTTCTGTGTACCCTTTACCCTCGTGTTATTTCTTTCTTTTATGACCTTGAAAGGGATGAATTCATTTCCCCTTGTCATGAGGAGTTGGAGTCAACCAGATAGCAGCATGTTAGAATTTGGAAACAGTTGAAATTACTTGATTCTAATCTAATTCTAATTGATGAAGATTTTTATTACTTCACAATAACCTACTTAATTATTAAGCCGGAATGCTATTTTATGAAAAAGTTAAAAAGGTTACTTTTTTAATATAGTGAAAAGCCAAGAAATGCTGGTAGTGTCACATTCTTTGTCCCTGACTTTTTCAGGATGATCACTACCTCGATAGTCCACTCTGAATTCTAGACCAGCCATTTCATCACTCCTTCATTTAACACATATTTGTTGAGTATGTATTTTTGTTAGAAACTATGCCCTCATCTTACTGCTGATGTAAAACAGTGTTTCTGTGTCTTAATGAGTCACAGTGTTTCATTCTATCACACACCTGGCTTGCGTCCATTAGCTCCTCCCTCTTACCTACAGTTTGTTTCATTTTCTTTCCCTCTTCTATATAACATCTAAACTGTTATTGCTCTTAGTACCAGATATTAACCCTTCTCCCTTTGTTCTCCCTCCTTGCAGCTTCTCTTTAAGCTATCTTTTCAATTCTCTAGGATTTACATGTCACCATTATGCTTCTGACTTAGAAATTTATATCCTGTATTTTTCTTCCTAAGCTCACACTTGTAATTCCAACAGCTTTCTTGCCATCTCCATCTGTATGTGTAGTAGGTATCAGGATCGTTTTGATTCTTACACCCAGTTTTATCTACTTGAGAAAATCCTCATCTTTCTTCATTCTGATTTCCTTTCTCTCATTCATCACGTCTGTTTATAGCCCTCAGCACTTCAGCTTAGAGCTATGTGGTGGGTTCTGTCTACTTTAATGCTACAAGAGGTGACAGCTGTGTCCTAGAATGTTGTCTAGTTCTCTCCAAATGATTTAAGCAAATGTCTTCTTACTTTTAGTGTGTTGTTCTGGGACTTTATGGGAATCCTGCTTAAATTAATTTGTATTTCCTTCGTTTCTTGATGATTAACTAATAATTTTTGTAGAAAATCCTTACACTATTATTGAAGAACTGTTATCTGTATATACCAAATGATATTTCTGTCTCTGATGGGAATGGAATTAACTTACTGAGAAATGATTATAATGTTGTGTTGTATTGACTAGATTCCATGATTGTCCCTGTCTAATTCTGTCACTTTTCTCAGCCTGTGGTTTATTGTTTAAAATAGCTTTCCTATCCATCGACTGACTTTGACTTTGCCACATGGCTTGGCGGGTGCATTCAGAAAGGGTATATTGATCTATCCACAAAGGGGATTGGCTAGTCTTGTCATTAAACTGAATAGATTGAACAGTACAATTTCAGAATCTCACCACCAACAATAAAGAAGCAGAGTGTTCAGTATGACAGAGTTCTGGGCCTGCTACCCTGGAAGCAGAGGTTGGACATTTCCCCC